AGAGAGAGAGAGAGAAACATGAAATGGTTTGTTAAAAAAAATAAATTTTTAACCAAATTGTTAATCAAACATACAATGTTCTTTAAATATTATATAAATATTTTTAATATTTACAACAAAAGACATTAATTGGAGATAAAAAAATTGCGATAAAATCATAAGAATGCAATATTTAAAATCATGCAAATAGAAAGATTTTAGAAACATGTATGCTTATACATAAGAGCTCAAAACATTCATTCAATTTTAATTCTTTTTAGAATGTATTTCTATAAGATCCGGTTGCACCAACGTTACTTTGACTTTAAGCGAAACTTAAAACTCTCTCTGCCCCATTTCAAAGCAAAAAAAAAGACAGAAACAGAGAGAGTTTTAAGCTTCATTTAAAATCAAAGTAACGTTGGAGCAATCGGACCTAAGTGTAGAGATGTTCAAAAAATTTATTTTAATCAACTTGGCAACACTGCTTAAACGATAAAGCTCTCATCCTCGGTTGAAATGAGCAAACGCTCTTTTGTTCAGTGGAGAACTAAACGTGGACGCAGCATGAGCAATCGATGTAAAAGCTATTGCGAAATACTTATGTGAATAGTTATTTTGATTTATTTAAAAGTAAAGAACAGTTATTATTAGTAGCAATATATCTATTATAATAACAATAATAAAAATTAATACAATACACGCAATCAAGTTAAAGATGCGACGTAATATGTGATGTGTATGATATATTTATCTTTCAGGGAACCCCCGAGCAGACATTTGCATAGTCTAAATTCATCACGTATAACTTTCATCATCATTTTATAACTTTCGTAAGTAATATTTTTTAATACAAAAAATAACAAAAAGTAAATGTTAATTGCATTTGAGTCTTGAATAGATTTGATATCATATAATTTCATTTCTTTACGTGTAATTACTATCGCCAGTACGTATTTTTAGATGATAATAATAAGAGGTAAACTTCCTTATTAAAGTGTATTTATTTTTTCAATTTCTACCACACAGATATTTTGAAATGACATTTATTGATTCTATCTTAAAACTATATATTCTATTTGCACATGTACTTTCTCTTCTTTTTGTAGAAAAAAATTTCTCTTATATAATCATAAATATTTGATTACAATTAATTAATTTATATAATTAATTAATTTTGTTGTTGTTATACATACAATAACTGCATTTTTTTATTTTTATAAAAGGTAATAAAATAAATGTAAGAAGAAAAATAAGAAATAATAAAGAAATTCATTAAGCCAACAAAGAAATTATATATGGGACACAGTTATTCTGACATTTATACGATAAAAATTAAGTGAAAGATATATATATAACAAAAATAAAAAATAAAAATAAATAAGAAAAAATAAAAACTTAAAAGAAATACATTTATAAAATAAATATGGGTAAGTAATGCAATATTCCTTCAATGTGATGATCCATATAAATTATACATTATTTTTATAGCAGACAATGAAATTCAAATGTTGGATATATTTAACAAAATGCAAAACTTTCCACCATTAGATGTTACAGTACAACGTAACGTCGGTAGAAATTGGTGTGCGTGGAAACAGAATTTTTTATCTTTTCTGCAGAAAGAAGATGCTAAAGAAATATATAAGAATCAATGGACAGTTATATTGTTAAAGTTAATTGGACCAGATGGAAAAAAAGTATATAAAAATCTTTTTCAGAACGCTCAAACAAAAGATCTGAGAACAGTTTTACTTAAATTAGATGTATTCTTCATTTTTGGAGTTAAAGAAAAGCAAAAAGGCGAAAGTATTGATCAATATATTGATTGCTTGATGGTAAATTAATATTTCAACAGTATTATAACATTGTAAATTGAAATTATTTTTGATAATGCATATTGTTAAAATGCGATTATAACGTGTTAAAATCACAAGTACAGAATTAGTTCTATTTTTGTGTATATCTTTTATAGTTAATTATAAAACGATTGTAAAAATATAATATACTAAACTAAAAACTTTTTTTTCCTTTTTTTATATAACTTTTTATTTATTCTTAAATGTTTAGCTAAAAACTTCATTTTCCAATCGCTTCATATAATTCATAAATCATATATCTTTATAAAAGGATAATAAAGATATTAATTATATTGAGAAAAGAATGTATAATTAAAAGAAATAATAATTATTTGCTGATGTATGATTAAAAATATAAAAAAATTATCTTCGTATTTTTTATTCTTTTTTATAATTCATTTTAATAATATATAAATTTATAAATATGTTTTTCTTTTACAGCTTGTTGCTCTAGCAAGCAAATACAATGATCCTGCGAATATTGTGAAGGAAAAAATTATAAAAGATATTAAAAATTACAATTTCACGGGAAAAGCTATGATTTTTATACAATCAAAGGGAGAACTAGTATCATATTTACAATCGTTGGATCTTGATAAAATTATACTGTTTTGGAAACAATGTGAAAAATTAATGTCACAAAGGAATCACGAAGATACACAAACGCAGCTTTCTTCTGATCTGAATCTTGTTGAAATGGAATGCGTTCGCTGTGGCACTTGTCATAGTAGAAATCGTTGTCCAGCTTATGGAGTGCAATGTGACAATTGTAAAGGATACAATCACTTTACGAATAAATGTAAAGGAAAATATGTGTCTAACTGTACTAAATGTGGAATGAGTCACATTCAATCACGTTGTCACGCTTTCGGCCAAATGTGCGTAAAATGTGGTAAGGTGAACCATTTCTCATGGTTGTGCAAAGTTCCTGTTGTAAAAAATTGCCTTAGATGTGGCAAAGATCACGCTATATCTATGTGTCCTGCACAAGGACGTATATGCTTTCGATGTAACAAACCAAATCACTTTAAAGAAAAATGTTTGAGCAAATAAATGAGGAACAAAAATGATATGTCATAAGAACTCTCTTGGAGATCGTAAAGGTGACAGTAGACAAGCTAAACTGTACCTATTTTGATTTTAATTTCCTTAATTTTTTGAAATATACTCCAAGTAAAAGTTAAAAATTCTAATTTTTTAGATATTGATTGAAATATCTTCGCGGGTCTTAAAACTAAAAAAAAGAAACCGTTTGAAATTAATCAAGTAATACGATCTTTTTATTCTGTGAAGTTATTGTTTCCATAAAAATGTCTCTGACACAAAATCAAATATTTTTTTTTAATGAAGAGAACACTAAATTATTAAGTTTTAAGTAGTGTCTTCGAAATATTAATGCTTTCTGTTTATTATTTATTACATAAAAGTTTATTTTAACTTTTTCCGAGAATTTATTTAATTAAAGTTATAAGTTATACCTTATATTGAGATGTAAAAGTGAACTAACATTTTAGTAATAAATATATGCTTTTTATATAGACAATAAATTTTGTTTTTAAGGCTATCTAATTATTTCTATATCAGATTGATTATTTATTTTTTTGCAAGAATTAATTAACAGGAAAATTTATAACAGGGAAAAAATGAATTTAATGATCTATTTATATATATATAGTATATAAGACTATTATCAGTTTCTAGTAAAGCGAAAGAGAAATTTTCAATTAATAGGGTATTTTTTATTTATTATCATAAAAATAAACAATTTCATTTTATAATCTAACCTTAAAGGACAGTTTACAGCTCTGTAGCACTCGGAATTAATTCTTGACACTCTGATTGCTCGAAGCTCGCCATCTGCTAACTCGCATCTCAGATTTACATTGCCGAACGCACCTATAATATGCAATATTTCTTGATCGTAAAATTATTCCCGATAAAAAATTGTTCATGCATGAATATGTATAACATGAATATATACAGGGTGTATTTGAAATAACGCTCACTAATCATATAGTGTTATTCCTAATTAAAAACTGAGTCGAAAAGTCCTCTATCATTTTGCAATTTTCGTAATATTTTTTTTTAGTCACTCAATGAGCAAAATGTCTAAAAAAATCGTATAAGACAACTTTAAGATCTCTTAAAATTGTCTTATACATCAATTTTATTTGTTTATTTGACAATCTTTAAAAAATTAATATCTCGTTAACTATTGTAAAAATTGCAAAATGATAGAGGACTTTTCGACATAATTTTTTATTAGGAATAGCACTGTATGATTAGTGGGCGTTATTTTAGATATACTCTGTATAAACATACATATTCATAAACATGCCTAATCATATAGTATAAAATAGATCTATATTATACATACTCATACATCTACCTTTTTCTTCTGTAAAATTGTTAGTGTAATAAAAATAATAATAGTAATATGAAAACATTGAAAATAATTAAAAGGGTAATTTTCATATTATTTGTTTTAGAGAAAATCAAGTTTGAAAAAATGTAAAAAAATTACTTGTATAATTAATATATATAAATTATGCATTAATTATGAGTAATTTTTTTTATGTTTTTCTAAATTTGTTTTTTTTTAAACGAACAATGCGAAAATTATCTCTTTATTTACTTTTTATTTTTTCACATTACTATTATTATTTCTATTATACTAAAAAGTAATTTTACAAAAGAAAGAGGTATGTATGAACATGTAGACATCCATATATGATTATACATGTTTATGAATATTTATGTATGTTTATACATACAATATATATATTAATATTTATTCATATATAAACAATTTTTAATCGAATTATATTATTTCTCATATTTTTTTATTATTTTTGTTAGAAAGAATAAATTTTATACGAACGAATTTACTTTAAATTTGTATATATTATTATATGTAAAACTTATAGGGGGAAAGAAATAAAGGAAAGAGAGGAATGCAAAAACAGTATAAAAAATTTTAATATTATAATTATAATCAAGTTTAAATGA